AGGGAATGAACGGATTGATGTTAGAAAGACTGAAAATGATGCGATGATTTTGCAAAAAGATGCTGGTTTTGAGAAAGGCATAGCATATACAAATTATGTCTAAAATGTTTTTATGACCTAATACCTGATACACTCTAAATCTCTGTTCACTCATTTTACCTGATATTTCCTGCTATGTATTTCATCAAAGAAAAATCTTCTGCCGTTGTATTCCCCCTCTCGTGCCTTAGTAAAAAACAATTTCATCTGGAACCTTGGTTAGGAAAAACGCAGATATTGACAAGGGGCCAAATAATATAGGTGTTTGCAATCAGTTATAATTAATGCTGCTCTCAAATGCGATTCTCGTGGCAAAATCTGCAGATCGGGCGAGGATTGAAGACTCATAAAAGATTCTGCACCCGATGAACAATGTCTTCATCGTTTGCGATGGACTAACGACGCATAATTAAATCACATACTACCTGACATTTTTCCTCATGTAAAAATTTAGGTTAGGGGGTTTGCACCTGCTTTTCTCAGTAACTCTGTTCACATGTACATTATTTTAACGGAATTGTATACTGCAGTTGTTCATGTGCAAAGGCGAGAATTGAGGTACTGTATCTTTAGGTCTGAAACAAAACAGTGAGTAGACATCAATGTCACAATGTTGCCATGCTTTCCATAAAGTTATAGTTACCCAATGAAATGAAACACAACATCAGTTCCAAATCTAGAATCTTTTTCTAAAGGTTTATTGGGGGAACCTGTCTACTAAACTGTATTTGATATCAAGCTTTGAAGTGACCTTTTATGATTGATAGCTATGCGATATATTGGCTTTCAAACTAACAATCATTTACATTCATCTCTTATTCCTTTAGACTCGGTGTGAAGATGATGACAGAATATAAAGTGCTGATGTGTGTCAATGGATTTTGTTTTTTTTTTTCCTTAATTAAAAAACAAAAACAAAATAGCAGACAATTTATGACACAGGGATGGAAAATCAGGCAGTTTTGTCTCAATGATTCACTATTTGTTCTGATTTTGGATAGTACAGGGGGAGAAGAGGGTTCCATTAAAGCTCGGGGAGGTGCAGAGGGGGGAGGTGGGGGGCAGCATATTTCCTTACTAAGGGATACACCATGCAAGTAATAAAGGTTATCAAGTTACAAGAAAATGAACATGATTAAATGGTGTCACATCTAATTACCAGTTGACAACATTCACACTGTTCACCATGAAAGCACAAGTAAATGTTTTCTTTGACAAAATAAAATGTACTGTTTTTTTTTTTAATTCAGTCATATCTATAAGGTACAATAACTGTCAAAGTGTTAACAACTAATCTATGTGTTATTCTCCCAGTTCACATTAAGTTATTTTAGTTTATTATAAATCCATGTCAGATCACATATTATCTATATCTATAATAAAACATTGGAATTGTTGATATGATACACATTATCAAAATGAATATAACAACATATTATAACATTATGCCCAGTTTTCCACCTTGGTAGTTTGTATTTTTTCTTGGTATGAACATAAAATCATATATCCCCTTAAAAAGTGACTGGCCCCAGTCCCTCCTCCAGATCAGACAAAATAAGAAATCATTTAGGCATTTATAGATCTGTCAAACATTGCATACATCTTTGATATTTTCCTTGGTATCATCACTTTGTCTACATTGGTCAGTATATGGGTGATTCTCTTCAAGCTTGTTGATAACTTTCTTCTC